ATGTACAACCTTTCGTTGTCAAAGTTACAAAAAGATCAATAAGAGATAATGTGGTCGTTGGCAATATGCAGAGAAAAGAATATACACTATTCAGATGTTCATTTACTGGACTGCTAACATCTAACTGGCGATCACTCAATATTTATCGTCAGGATCGACCAAGAAGAAAGAAACGGAAACTTGTTGACATACTTTGTGCTGAAAATTCTATATTGTACCAAAAATATAATATTGAATAAAGTTTATAATAATAAATAATAAATAAATAAATAAATATTGGCATATGCGCATGCTGTGCGTATGCCTCGATATTGCCTTAATTCACAAGCTTTTTGTAAGCAATGATGGATAGTGGCTAGTAGTAGCTGAGTAGATAACGCAACGGCGTTTGTAGCGAGTGGTAATGGGTCCGAGTCCCAGAGTGAACATCAAATCTGAGATGCAGGTACATCCAACCGACGAGTCCAAAATAGGACGAAACACGCGTCCTGGATTCCACTGCTAGCCACTATCCATCATTGATTACAAAAATACCTTAACAAATATTTTATCTCAAGTTATCAATGACTACTCATTACAGTCACACATACTACTGAATATAAATCCAGAATATTTGTCACACGGTATTATTGAATAAAACTGATGAAATATTAAGAAAATAAAAATTCTGTTGCTATGGTTAATAACAACCATACACAAATATAAATCATTTAAAAGACTTTTGTTCTATACTCTTTTATATATACAATGGTGGTATCGTTTTATTAATGGAATATATATCATAAGATATTACGTCATTATTCACGTTATTAAACAAAAGATCACGCAGTGATTTATCTCTTCTCGAAGATTCATTTTCTATAGAAGTGATCAAGATCATTCTCATATTTCTTCATATTCTTATTCCTTAAAAATACATCCGATGTTGTTTTGCTTTATTTTTTTTTTACATAAATTAGAATACATTTCTGTTCATTGAATACTGAAGACAAACAAACAAAGAAACAAACAAAAGGAACAGTATCATGCATGATTTAATTTCATAATTCATGCATTTATACAGTGAAACGAGAATAAAAACCATTAGACAACATTCAGCTTCGATCATGTTTTTGAACATTTTCTAGACAATTGTGTTAGAAAATAACAAAACAAATTTGTACAATGTCTGTTAGTTTATAAAGAGAAAAAAAAAGTGGTGAAATATGCTAAAACAAAAAACAAAACTATTTGCTGAATCGTTTATATGGTTATGTTAATTAAACAGATAAGTGATTTATGTAACTTGAGATGTAAATTTTTCTTTTTATCATGGTTTTTCTAATTAAAGAATTTTCTAATGATAAGTTTTTAGAACTATAAATTTTTTGTTAATATTAAATGTATGTTGTAAGCAAAGATGGATAGTGGCTAGTAGTGGAATCCAAGATACGCGTTTTGTCTCATTTGAGACTTGTCAGATGAATGTATCTGCATTTCAGAGTTGATGTTCACTCCACGACTGGAATCTAGTACCGTTCAATTCAAATGCTATCGCATTATACACTTAACTATTAGGACTTAGTAGCTATATGGATAACGCGATGGGGTTTGAAGTGAATTGTATTGGGTTGGAGTCCCGGAGTGAACATCAACTCTGAAGTACAGGTACATTCAGCTGACTAGTCTTGAATGGGACGAAACGCGCGTCCTGGATTCTACTGCTAGCCATCATCTATCTTTGCTTATAAAGCTTGTGATTTAAAGCAACATCGAGGCAATACTCACAGGATGCACATATGCAAATAAGAGACTGATCAATTGAATTCTTAAACAATAATGAGAAGATTCAAGTAAACAATACCAAGTGGTTTTAAACGTATGTTGGTTTCAAATTTGTCAATTACATGTTTATTTCATAAAGTGCTGACAAAACTATTCCGTGATGTTAACGTTTGAAATTATAATTGCTTTTCTCTACTTCTTACAATTGAAAAACATATAAAACTCAAAACAGCTGTCTACAAGCCAACATCAAATTCAAAATCTGTAATATGAATGTCGAGGCAGTTCTATTGTCAATACTTGACGAGCTAATACCACTATCATCGAAAGTGTACGGGTATTTATAAACATTTATCTACTCAAGATACTTAATGTCTCTTGACCGAATACCATCAGCAATAATATACTATGATAGAGAACAAGCGAACATCCATCTGAAGAGGAAATTAGGAAATGACGTTGGGATTGGATAGGACATACAGTGAAGAAATCACCAAACTGTATCACGAGGCAATCGCTTACTTGGAATCCTGAAGGGAAACAGGAAAGATGATAGCCAAAGAACACATTGAGTCGAGAATCGAAAGCAGATATCAAAAGGATGAATAACAACTGTCAACAAATGGGATGGAGAAGCTAAGACGAAATTGGTTGGAGGTTTCTGTTCGATGGCCTGAACTACTTTACGAGGGGTAACAGATGTGTGTAAGTAAGTGACTTTCTCTGATTCAATTTAGATTCTTAATAATAGTTTAGGTAAATAATGAGGTAGGTTTAACTAGAAATATACTAAATTTAATTTAATTTGGTCTCACTAAGTATGTTTTCTTTGACAAATCAATCAGATTACGGAAAGAAATCCAAAAACTGGTGATGGACATGTTGTAAGAAACAAGTAAAATCTGTTTATATGTTGTTACTAAAACAAGTAATATAAATTGGCATATCAAGCGAAAGAATGGCAAAAAAAGTGAGTAACTTTAAATTGATAACCAGTTCATAAGTTCAAACATGAATCACGAATTTTCGAAGTAAAATTTTATGATTCCGGACAATTAAAATCAAAGAAATGATTACATCAGTGTCAAACCGTATAGCCAAGCAACATTTCCCAGTCTACTCATTATGATTACTAATTCCTAATCTTAACCTTAAACATTAATTTCAACCGGGACTACTTATCTTAATCTATTTTGAGTTTTTCATGTGATTAATTATTCATTTATATCACCTAAATTCCCATTGACTACAAGTGATTTTGTTTTCTGAAAGTCATTGAAAGGTTTGTTTCTACCGTATTTTGCTTTGAAAAATAAAACAACTGAATTTCTCATGGAAGGGAATTTTACTTGATTGTTACTTGTCATTGAAGAAAGTTCAACTACTGATATTGTTTTTACATACAGTTTTATGAAAGATTTGAATTCTATCTTTACTTTGTATGGTTAAACGTTTATGTTACATATAATGTAAAACATAATTAATGTTATAAACGAATTTTAGACGATATAACTATATTGCTGTTATTAGCAAATTAAATTAATAACTAATTTGTATGATGGGATCGTGGATGTGTACTGCTGAGGAGTCCCTAACTAAGGACGAGACGGTCGTTCAGTGCTTCCAGGTTTACCATGGAGGTTTAACTGCAATTGACTCACAAATTCAATTATTAAGTTAATGACTATTAGTTAAACAGATGACCTTACATTTAGTAAAATTAACAATTTTCAAGTTGTGAAAAGGTGGTAATTCATCAAAATTGGATTCTCAAAAAAACAAACAAACATGAAACTGGACAAGAGAATATACGAAAAAAATAACAAAAATATGGTGTTTTTTGACATACTATTTAGTGTTTAAAATGTAAGAATACGAATTTTTCCATGGAACTTCGAAATACAACTTTAAATTCGGACAATTTCAAAGCAAAAGATCTCATATAGTGTCGATCCTCAACATATCAATGGTTGGTTATACACTCTTACGAAATCTAGAACTAAGAAAAAATCCCACCTATCACTTATTTCCTAATATCTAACTATTTACCCAAATGTCATTAACTTTGAATATCTGTAAAAGCTAACTACTACATAAATCACTTATTACCCAAAACAGATAATTAGTTATTTTCTTATCATTTCAGTGGACAGTTGTTATCTGTTTGAGAAATAAGATATAGATCAAGAAGAATATCACCAACTATAGTAGAACCATGTGATTATCATGTGATTACCGTTACCAGTGGAGTTCAACCAGGTCTGTTGTGAGAAATCAACTCACTGAAGACAATGGTGTACGATGGCGCAACTTCGTGGATTGGTTGAAGTTGAACATTAACACCGTTGGATACCCGCCAGCTCAGTGGTCAAGTTGGTCAAGTGCCTGGCCCGAAACTGGTAGGTCCTGGGTTCGAATCTCGCGAGGGGGTGCGGGATCGTGGATGCGCACTGCTGAGGAGTCCCATACTAGGATGAAACGGCCATCCAGTGCTTCCAGGTTTTCCATGGTGGTCTAGCTTTAATTGACTCACGATTTCTAAAATCTCCACAAAACCCCTTCTGATTATAATTATTACTGGCTACAATTGCAAATAATATAGAAGCATTTGCTTTTTGCTTTTTTTAGTTAAATTTACATCAATTGAATAGATTGTTTTAATTTGTATATCTGTGCCTTCTTTCAAATGTATAAGAAATTTGACTTTGTTCATACATAGAAAATTTCAAATTAATTTCATTTTGTAAAGCATTAAACAAGGAATTCAACTATTTGGCACCAAGTATTTCAACATTTCACCAATTAATCATTATGATATTCTTCAAAACTCAATAATAATAAATAATGAAATAAGATGAAATAACAAAAACAAACACATAAGAAATTTTATAGTTGAATTCATAAGTCAACTGAAGCTAGATCATCATGAAAAACCTGGAAGCGCTGAGCGGCCGTTTCGTACTATTGTCGGACTCCTCAGAAGTGCGAATCCAAGATCCCCCTTCTTGAAATTCGAACCCAAGACCTATCAATCTTGCACTCGAACGCTTAACCACTACATCACTGAGCTGGCATCCACTAGTGTTAATGTTTAACTTTAACCAATCCACGAAATTACGCCACCGTCTACCATTGTCTTCAATAAGTTAGTATCTCATAACATATATAAGAAACAATAACCAATGTGTTTTTTTTCTTATAGATAATAATAAAACAATTCAATAAAGCAAACTTACATATCATCATTCATTTTCTTCAATTATAATTAACCTTGATAAGAATTATCAGTAGTAATATCTATATATAAGTACTATATCCACACCAGTAAATATTTTTTTCCAAAAAAATATGATTCACTTTAGTAAATTAATAGAAATTTCCATTTATTATTATTATAAGTTATCCAACATACTATAAAATTAAATTAATAATCATGTAAGATATTTGAAAAATAGTAAATTATGTTTAATTAGACATCTGATTGGCTGTGCAAACGAACCAATCAAAAAATTATTTTAGTCAAGTTAAACTGTCTAGGTTTTTTATTATTATCAGAATGAAGTTTTTGTGAAGACTGTAGTAATTTTGATGTAAGATGGACCACCATAGAAAAACCTGGAAGTACTGGACAGTCGTTTCGTTCTAGTATAGGACTCCTTAATAGTGTGCATCCACGAACCCCGTCGTGGGGTTCGAACCCGGAACCTTTGGTTTCGTGCGAGAACAATCAACCGCCAGACCACTGAGCCGGCATCCACCACTGTTAATGTCTAACTTCAATCGGTCTATGAATAACCGCGCAACCATTCATTCAGTGTCTGAGGTAGATACCAATCTCTGCCTGACTCCACTGATCACGACTTCTCACAAAGAATTCTAGTTTTTGACATCATTTTCTGCAATAACGAATTACTACTTGAAAACAAAAAACTTTTTATAGGTTAAATTATAAATGTTATTTCATCTACGTATACAAGAACAGATAATTGTTTAGTGTTTACCAGTTATTTTATTTTTAAGTTATTGTATCATTAAGTCAATACAGATGATTAACACGTGAACATCTTATGTGTTACTAATTCTATTATTTAGACATAAATATAACAGTTAACATTTAAGAAGTTTTGGAACAAAAAATTAAAAAAATTTTGTGGTATCTAGTGAAGGATAAAAATGTATGTGGTGAAAAATGCAAGTTATTCTTCAGAATTGTTATACAATTACCGAAATCATACATTTTGATTGATATACACAAAGCTTGTTCTTAATATACCAACCTTTTAAAGTTTAATTCCTTTTTTATAACTTTAATTATTAGCTACGATATGCTAGTAGTTTACAATAGAAGAAAGGATTCTGATTGAATGTGTTTGAATACAAGGTAATATGGTAGATGGTTAATTAGTAATTCAATATAATGTATTCAAACAGTTCAACATTACTTAGAATTGCTCTATAGCTCAGTCGGCATGTTGATATTTCATAGATAGTTTTTTTCAATTATTGATGAACAGTTGTTTATCACTTACTACATGATATAACTTATTAAATTGGGGTATTAGCACCAATGGCTTACAAACACCAACATGAAAGATGCTGGGGTTCGAGTCTTGGTATGAACACTAACACTTGGTGGTACATCCACCTGATAAGTCCTAAATAAGACAGGACATGAATCTATGACTCCAATTTTAACCACTATCATAATTATAAATAATCCAGAGTATTGTTCCAAGCGATGAAAACTGTTTGTTAATAATTGCAAAGTGGCAACTGGATACATAAAGTCTGAAAGACTGATAAACATGCGATCAAACTGACTATTTATTATTTTCACATGGTTAATAAATAAAGGGCTGAACAAAACTGCACAAGATAATTTAGTTTTAAAACACGCACATTTATTTTGAATTTCGAGTCCCGGAGTGACCATTAACTCTGAGATACAAGTACGTTCAACCGACTAGTCGCAAATAGGTTTTCCATGGTGATCTAGCTTTAATTGACTCATGATCTCATCTATTGAAAGATATAAAATAGATGGAAAAGAATAAGACTATAGTGATGATTTATGTGATATTGATAGGGGGAACCTAGGAACTTAGGTAACTTATCCGTTAGTGGAGGAACCACAGAGGTTAGCTTCATTAAATAGTCTCTCAACTGCTCTAGTCAGCCTATCCTGTAGTTTATCACCAGCCATATCTCCATCGACTTGCAGCTTTTGGAAGAGAGATCTCGTACTAGCCGTTGATGTCTATATTTTCTTATTTGTTATATGCAAGTGTTTCTTCGGGAAACCTTTTGGATAACTCATTTCAATCAACATATTATACATGAGCCCTAATTCCTTGTTTATTGTATTAACTGAGTATATCTTCCCAGCTCTATTTACAAGATATCTAAAGCGTTTCCTCTTATAATGAAAGGGTACAAATCTCAAGAAATGTGTGCACTGGCTTGCTGAAGGACTTTTCCTATACACACTTCTACTGATAGGACCTTTTTTTCTGTTCAACTAAACGTAAGGGAAATGTAGTTTATTATCAAGTTCTTCTTCACACGTGAATTTGATTGCTGAGTGATTATTATTAAATAGTTCTAAAAGTCCTTCATTTCCCAATGTTCCAATCGATGATAATGAAAGTATCACCAATATAACGACAATTGATGTCAAGCTTGTCGATAACCTCTTTGAGAGGTCTGTTTTCTAGTTTCTTAAGAGAAAAATGAGCAAAGATAGTACCTAGAGATGAACCCATCTCTATACCATCAATTTTTTTTATCATATGGAAATTCGCTGCACATTTCAGGAATAATTGTTTGAGTCTAACCTTGAGGATTTCAATATTGATCTGTTTTTCAAGTAGTTGTTGGGACACAAACTCTCAGTTAATGGAACATTGGTGAACAAGGAAGTAACATTTAGATAACATCCGTTTTCTATTTAAGGTCGTATGTTCCGCCTTAGAAATGGAATTGAAAACGTCTTTCACACTTTTGTTGATGACCAGTTTGTGTAAGGAATCTAGGACTCGAGCTAACAACTTTTCAGTTTTGTGTTATGATGAATTATACACATCTAAAACTGGACGAAGAGGAAGTTCAATCTTGTGAACTTTTGGTAAAACATAGAATCGCGGTGTGTTCAATCCAATGGGTTTAATTGAATCGTGAATGGATGAAGTAAATATTTCTTTATTTCTTAATTCTTTAAGTGAATTAATCAGTAGTCTCTCTGCTTTCATATTTATTTCCTTAACGTCGTTGAATTGGTAAATTTTAGTTTAATCATTCAAAAGTGAGTTCATTTTATCAATATCATCAGCTTTGTTCATTAGAACTATCCCTTATCCTTTGTCCGATTTGCTTATGATTAGAGTGTTATCTTTTCTCATCATATGTAAAGCATTTTGATTTCGTTTGATAAATGGAGAATTCATAATATATTTACTATTTTTGTATTGTTGGCAGATGCTACACTATCGATTCGTACTTTTTACTCATTATGTTTATATATATAATCTATTCCACTGTTATCATTGTTTCATACACTGCCTTGAATAGTTTAATATTATCGTGTATATATACTACTGTACATTAGAGTAAAGCGTATTTATTTATTCATTTTATTTTATTTGAACACATAAATATTGGTACAAGAGTGCGCCAAATAAATATGCGCCACGAAAAACAATGAGAAGGAAAAAGAAGAAGGTAAGGAGCGTAAAAAAAGAGAACGATAACGAAGAGATTGGTGTAAGGTAGTGTAATAATAATAATGGTAATAATAATGGAAACGGAAAGGTACAATCAGAAGAAATCTTTCAGTTAGGGAAGTTACAACCACTTTCTACGAAGAAAGTAAAAGAAGGTTACAGCAGGATCGCCACTGGCTTTTATTCTGAGCCATATCTGATAACGTCTCTAACCACTGTGTAGCACCATCTCTCGGACCCCAGTCAGGGAGTCGTCAAGGACCAACACAAGCCAGTCCTTTGCAGTTTTCTTTCACACCGCGACACCATGTCATATACTGACCACCTCTCCGCTTTTTCCAACCAGTCCCAAAGTCGGCAAATAATGCACGACGTGGAATTCTCTGGGACGACATTCATAGAACATGTCCAAGCCACCGAAATTGATGTTTCAAGATGGTGACACTAATTGCATTATTGTCTCTGTGCCCGAACACACGATGCCGAACCTCTGCATTAGATCCTCATCAGGCTTCACTCTAACATACTCTAACACTAATATAAGTTAGCATGTTAGAGTAAAGCCTGATGAGGATCTAATCAAAAAACAATATAGTTCACTTATATGTATTATTCTCAGTAAAGTAATTTCAAATCACTAGAATATCACAACTTGCATTTCACACTATAACACATGAATAGATACTGATATTAGCAAATTAATATAATTAATCAGAATAAAGCTGAAATATTGAAGGAAATTACTGAATTATTTACATAATCGAATAATTTGTAGCTTAGTGATATATAATCAAGACCCTTAAAAAAACAACAATATACAACAATAATTATTGATTAAATTTAATTAGTTCCCTTATTGGTATTTAGATTTATGAATGTTTATTCCTTTTTAATTTAATTAATAAAAAAAAGATTTGTCAAGTTAAACATAAATAAAATTAGAATTATTTAATAAACATCTTCTTTTTGGTGATGTCATCTATCATCATTTTTGTCAGTGGAGTAAACATCAACTCTAGGATGTAGGTAAATCAAGTTGATGAGTTCTAAATAGGTTGAAACTCACATCCTAAATTCAATGGCTAGTCATCATCCATCTTTGATTATAATGCTTTTGAATTAAGGCAATATCGAGACAATACTTACAGTATGCATATATGCCAATAAGAGACTGATCAATTGCAATCTGAAACATCAATAGGGAAGATTCAAACAAACAATACAAAATGAATAATAAATATATTTTTTTTATAACCCAATCATTAGAAAAATTGTATTGCTGACGTTTCAATTATTTATTTACTCTGAAGAAGTGGCTCACATTGCATCATGAAAAGTCAGAAATACAATTGTTCTACGCATTGGGATATAATAAAAAATATATTTATTATTAATTTTCTGTATAACACTCACTTTGGTTGAAACTGGACGGCCGTTTCGCCTTATTATTGAACTCCTCAGCAGTGAAGATACACGATCCTGACCAGCATTTCTGAGAAGTTCTATACTAGGACGAAACGACTGTTCAGTGTTTTCAGGCTTTCTATGGTGCTCTAGCTTCAATCGATATATGAATTTAACTACAGAATTACTAAAATGTCCACAAAACCTCTTTCTGATAATTATTGAAACTACGAAGTTGAACCTCGGCATTGATACCTTTATTATACCAATAGTTCATAGATTGATG